AATAAACTTTGTTCATAAAAGATTTATGTATTGATAGTATCAGTAAATTAACTAAAGTTCTTATAAATTTTCCGTGCCTAAATAAAAATATGATATATAAAATCATCAAAACCCTTAGAAAACGATACACATTTGTTGCTTATCCTAAATGGTAAGTAGCCAAAAGATTAGAGAAAGATAGTATTGATAAATTCTCTTGAACATCTTAATGTCCGCAACGTGCCTTAAGTTGTTTCTCAAACTGCTCTTAGGCTCTACTGGTAACGCTTTCCCTTGTTATCAACACATATCATGTTATGTGAATGTTTGCCTCAACTCATATAATGATTATGCTTTATATCCTAGTAATAAAAAAATAAACATTTCCGAGTTGAAGGAAATGGAAACAAAAATGGCGCATGGCATTTTATAAATTATCCGTTATTTATGTTTTTGTATTTGGTGTGTATGTGTGTATGTGTAAGTGTTAATGTGTCAGTATGTGTGTTCATATTTAACCTGTAAACAACGTAGACTGTCAGTAATACAAACAAGGATACTCAAATATGTCGTTTTATCAATCCTCAAGTTCTCCGCGCTGTCTGCTATTGCGGTGTGTCTTTGTGTTGTGCTATAAAAATGAAAAAGGAAACACAAAAAGGACTATCGAGGTAAGGCATCCTTTGTAGGTTCGCATTGAAAGGAAGCACAAAAAAAATATTATTCGTGCTGCGTTGGGCATGTGTGAATGTGTTAATGAAAAGGTCGCGTTGATGAATGAAGTGCCTCCGTTTATTATGACTATGATAAGCTTTTTCCTTTTTTCTTGCTTGTTATATTTTAATTGTATTTAGAGGTTTTTGTGTGGAAATAAGAAATAGAATTTCTGGTAATTTATTTATTTTTAATGAATTGAAACTAACGTGGATGGGCTTTTCATTCTCGTAGTATTTCATAATATCTTTACTCTTTGTAATTCATAATTCAACTGCGGAAATTTTTATAATATAAGGGGTAAATATATTTTAATTTATTTTTTTTAAAAAACTTTTATTTTTTTTAAAAAACTTTTATTTTTTATTCTATTTTGCTTGTTTTTTATTTTATAGCCTTGAAATTTTTTTGAACCAAGACTAAGCTAGAAGATTATATTCCATATAAAATATAATTGATAATTCTGACGAGACAAATAACATTAGCGATGCCAGTCTGTCAATCTGTTTATGTTACTATATATTAGCAATTTATTCATTACCTTACAAATCTTATTAAGCCCGTGTGCGAGTTCAAGTAAATTGAGGTGAAGTAAATTGTAGTTTTCTATGGGTTTTTTGCACTGCACTTGTGTAAATATTTATTTATCGTTAAAAGTTTTAAAATTTATTTATTAAACATCTTATAAAATTTTAACAATGGTAACAACTACTTTATCTAATTTTTATCTAATTTACCCTACTCGAAATTCTGGTAAATACCAAGATTCGCTGCCACACCAACAAATTTACTATTTCCTTTAATTTACCATCAATTTACTCGAACTCGCACACGACTTAAATAAGATTCAGATGATATCGACTGCTGGAGAAAGTTGACCACCTCTATAACAGAGTTCTGACACAATTGAAGTGTCGGAAATAAGATTATTACTACACATGTAATCATTAGAGCTCAAATAAAAATAAAAATTAAAATAATATTTCTGAAAGAAGTATTAAATAAATAATGAATAATAAAAATAAATTAAATAAATTTTTATGTTTGTCATTTCTTTCATTCTTTCTTTGCTTTTCGAAAACCCTCTAAATAATGGATAATTTAAAAGGGTTCGAATAGAGATAAAAAGACAATAACAAAAATTTTAGTTAATTTATTGAAGTTTAACTGATCATACAACTCTGTTTCGAGTATGACCAAGTACTTATCATCAGTGATCTTAGGAAATATTCGAGTTTCAGTTTAATTAGTTTATAGTCCGTATATAATTTGTGTGGACTGCAGGTGTTATGCTTAGAAGTCGTGTCTGTAAAATTAGAAGCGAACATATTTTTTCACAAGTAGCCAAGAGTGTACAAACATTTAATGCTTAAGTTCCAGGTTTTTTGTCATTTTTTTATTTTTAAGTCACACTGACCATAGCACTTGCTGTGCTTTAAATTAAAACGAGCTTATAAATTACAGCTTTATTTGGAAACACAAATTTAACGAATTGAAAGTTAATTCTTGAAATTGTCTATTTTTTATTTCAAAGTTATTCGTTCTGCAGAGACATCTTTTATGCATATTTTGACTTACATTAAGACTGAAAAGTTTTCGGAAATTCTCATTTAAAATTCGCGCGCTGTATATTTTTCGATATTT